TACCTGAGTGATTTTCAGACATATTTGCCTAAATATTAGGAGAAACATTATTTCCTGACATCCAGGATATTTGGTTCCCCCCTGTTAAAACAGGTATACAGCAACTCTGGGCCTCGGTACTAATAACAATACAGTATTCACATGTAATAATGTACTTGAGTGATTTTCAGACATTTCACATACCTCTTTGATTTAATATTAGGGGAAACATTATTTCCCGATAGACAGGGGAAACATAGGGAAACCGAATTGCCCGGAACACCGGTTTGGGATTGGGCCCGAGTCGCACCATAACACCGCCACAAAAACAATTATTGGAGCATGCGCAGTAAAGACCCAGACGGCGCCTTTAAATGTTACTCGTTGTACGCATGCGTAGAACGCAAATCTGCCCACACATGCTTACTATTTTAGCGAATGATCGTGATTGTATTAAATAGCAGGCCTCGTTGTCCCTATTGGATTGTCATGCTGTCCGTCAGACGTGCTTTTACGTACGTTACGGGTTTACAAGTCTCGTCAGTTGTCTGGTTAGTCTTATTTGTTGCTTAATAAACATCGCGTTTGAAAATGTTTCGAAGAAAACTTACAGCTTTGGACTACCACAATCCCTCTGGTTTTAACTGCAAAGGTAGTATAATTATATTGTTATGGGATAACCAGTCGTGAATGGTGACACGCTGATTGAAAAATGTCACTAAACTGTACAACAGGGAACAGTCTAAACCCAAAATGTCGGCGAACTGAATTTGAAATACATTGATAAGAAATAAAGCTGGTTTTAATTTGTAACAACCTCTGTTGTACATTTCCTAAGCACCATTAACCGTATACATAGGTGGCGTTGCGTTTCCCTAAGAATAGTGACTTGCATTTTAAGTCGATCGATCAAATACCTGCCTTAATAGTTTTGTCAGTGTGTCGCAGAAATAAGGTATATTTTGTTTGTGTAGGTAGTACATTACTTAAACGGCCGTTTTTCGCTTGATGTGAGAAATGTAAGACTTGTTTGGCTGCTAATATATCTTAACTAGCACCGAATATCGTGATTTACACAATAAAATGCGCCGTTAGTTTAATACATACTTAAAATTGTTTCCTGTTAGCTAAGGGCTAATGACTTGTTCGTCTGCTTCCACCCCCAAATAATAAAAAAGATGAAACGGAATTCAGGAATTTCATAGTTTGGCTGGAAGACCAAAAAATAAGACATTACAGAATTGAAGACCGGGGCAACCTAAGGAACATACATAGTGCTGAATGGCCTAAGTTTTTTGAGAAGGTAAGTAGAGCAGGGGTTCATTTGAATCTCTACAAGTTTACTGTCTAGGCATTGCCAGGCTAGCTTAGCTTAGAGTCCAAGATATACTTTACTGATCCCAGGGTAAATTCTAATTCTGATACATTATTGTACTTATGTTTGCACTGGACAGTGTCCTTCATTCCTGTTCACAGTGTGTCCTGTTAACTGTTATCACTGTGTTCAGTTCACTGTTTGCACTGAACTACAGCCAGTTCTGGTATGTTCACATACTGGAAATAAGGAGTTCTGACACTGCATGCCCACTCTTAACATCCTTCTTGTACTTTAAGCCCTAGAGCTCTGTCCTCTGATCCCCTGGGTTGTGTAGGCATGTTCTTTTGCCTTTTCATTGATATGTTCTTCATTTTCAGTATGTGCAAGATGTGAAGTGCCCTTTTCAAGCCCAAGACAGACAAGAAACTGTTGACTGGCTGCTTGGCTTGGCTGTCCGATTGGAATATGGAGATAACGGTAGGAGAAACTTAGAATAGCGGGTACATCGTGCTGTTATTGGATTGATATATGGTTACATACACAACTATTTTAAATTCTGCCTTTACATAATATTGGGTGGAAGTAAAATATAAAACAAACCTAGTAGATTTGCCTGGTTATTTGTAAAAATGAATATATTTTGCAGCATGGGGACATTATTTTATTTACCATTCATTCTATTAAATGAAAGTGTTCCGAAATAATTTTTGCATCTTATAAATGGTATTAGAGTCGAAGGAGCAGTATTTGTACCTTCACTGCTTTAAACGCATACTTGTACCTTTAAAGGGATTCTGAGTTTTTACTATTTGTTGCTTTTTTGATTTCAGTATAATAATATGATCAGGGTGGCTGTGGATAGTACTGTTCTCAGCCCTGTGGTGAATAGGCTTCCCATCCACAGTGGCTCCAGGGCGCCCTATGACCTTGGCAAGGATGAGTGGTTGGATGGGTAATTTCAAGATCTTTTTGTTGCCTGTTAAGCTGTTTAAAATTCTCAAACATTTTAGATACACTTCATAGCTGCTAATGTTGAAAAGGAAGTTGAACTGAAGATGAAACTTTTCTTGAAAGGAAAATATAAAACAATATGTATGATATTGGCAACAAGTGCTGTAGAAGTATATGCATTTTACTGATCAGACTTTAAAAGCAAATTGGAAAAACTTTTTTTTTTTTTAAACTTCATGTAAATGTTTTTGGTAATGGTCATTATCCTGAATTTGAGGTTTTGCTAGATGGCACATGTGCATTGTGGTATTAGCCAGTTGTAATGTATTACAAGCAAATGTTTAACTGGGGCTTGTTGGAGCCGTGCTTTTAGTACAAGTACAATGTGAGAACAGTTTAAGCTATGAATTATTTGAAAATGTACTGTTTCAGATATGTGATAACCCCACAAAATGCTTTATGGTTGTTTTCTTTTTTGAAATGACTTTGAGATGGTAAAGTGAAAAGCTGGTGGCTGACAGCATCCACACTGGAGGTTGTGTGTTCTATCAAGTCTGTCATACTTTGAAGGAAAGACCTATTATGGAAGTAACCAGCCATTCCATAATCGCAGAAGATGTGCAGTGGGGGAATTTGTTTCTTAGTTGCTAAATTAACTTTTTTTTTTCTTTCCTCCTCAACAGTTGAAAGATATAGGAATTGCAAACCGGACATTGTGAAAAATCAGGACAAAGCCGCTGATCCACTCATAAATCTTGACAGTAAGATCAATACTGACAGTAAGATAGATACATATCTGTAGAAGTGTATACAGTGGTACCTCAGAACTCAAACTTAATCCGTTCAGAACACCGGATCGAATCCTAAAAAGTTTGGGTTCTGATCGAATTCTCCCCATAAGAAATAATGGAAAACCAATTAATTAGTTCCCGGCCCCAAAAAATTACACCTAAATATGTTTTTTTTAGCATTTAAACAAAATGAACAGGATAAAACAAGAAGAGCATATACTGTACTAAACACATCTAAGCACATTTATCAAAACAGTAATTTGTAAAGTAAGAAAATAAATGTATCCAAACAATGTGTAAAGTTAAAAAAAAAAAACAAAACAATGTGTCCTGCCCCGATCGTCCGCTCCTTCTGTGTGCCATGCCCCCTCGTTAACCCCATGTGGAATCCCCGTGTGATCAGCTGTTTCTGGTTGTTGTCATGAGTCCTCTGTATTTCGTCCATGTTTCAGTTTGTTTCCCCAGTCCGGTCATTGTATTGTCCATCTGCATTTTGCCTGCCTTACTTGTAATTAAACCCCGTATTCCCCGATACCCTGACGTCTGTGCCTTTATCTCTGTTCCGTCCCTGATCGGCATGACAATATTATGATTAAATGTATTAATGGTTTATTATTAATATTAAAATAATGAATAAGAAATCTTTATTTTAAAATGTATTTAATTATATAGTAAAATACCTGTTACTGTTTATCATTGTCTAAATGTATTTTTACTGTCTAAATATATGTATTCAGCTAGTGTAAACATGCACGATGCCATCACAGCGAATGCGAGGCTGAGACTGAAGCGTTACCCTTTGTTTCCGCTGAGAGATGTGCCGTGTGACCCGCGTGTACAAGTTCTTAGGTCGGCGTTCACAGTTTGACTTCTGAGATTCAGATCGAGTACTAGGTAATTTTTTTCCAAAGTGGTTGGTTCGACTTTTAAGAAATTCGCGTTTTAATGAGTTTGAGAACTGAGGTACCACTATATATACATATGTGTCATGCAGTTTATGTGCTGTCTGAGACAGCAGTGCATCACAGGGCAGTTGTGTACATTCAAAGCACAATTTAATCATTATTTCAGTTCATTGTAAGAACATAGAAAGTCCCTTTGTTTATATTTAGATAGATATTACACAAACAGCACACAGGCTGAGTTACCTAGAGGAGTAAGGTCCTAATTCACTTTGCAGATCTGCTTACATTTCTTGCAGAAATAGACAATACATTTCAAAAGACATGCATGTTAAAATTGTTTTCTGCTTAGCTGCACTGCAAATGCTGTATCAAACTGATATCATTTGGTTGTTCCATGTGTCTAGGCAACAGTCCAGATTTCAAGGCTGGTGTGATGGCCCTTGCCAATCTCTTGCAGATTCAACGCCACGATGACTATCTAGTGATGCTGAAGGTGATGGAGATTTATTGGACTTTTAAAAGGATTTACAAAATTTTTCCTCTACTGAATCCTACAGTAATCACAATGTACAAATGAAATGAATCATATTCAGATGGACTACTTGAGTCTCATTTCTCAGATGTCATGTCCTCTTCTAGGCTGTTCGGATTCTGATTCAAGAACGGCTGTCATCTGAAGCAATAGCTAAGGCTAGTGCTGCTAAAGAGGTAAGGACATGGGCTTAATGTAAAGCAGTATTTGTTTATTGACAGCTTCTAACTCTTATCTTATTTTTTGAAGGGCTTACCAGTTTCCTTGGATAAGCACATCCTAGGTTTTGATACAGGTGGTAAGTCAGATACTTCAACTTTGGCTAACCTTTCATTTGTGGAAGAAAATGTTTAGAATGATTGGCCCCTTGGTCCAGACTGACATTTTATTGTTTGTATACCATTGCTGAGCTTTAAGCGATTTTGCGTTTTAGCACTTTGGGGAAGAAAAGCTTGACCCAAATTCCTTCCGTTTCAGTTTTATGAGAGAATTCAATCAGTCATTTTTTAGTACTTTAAGTAGGTGGTTGTAAATTTCAAGTTCTGAGTTATCAGGAATGTATCTATACATTGTGATGTGTGATGCTACTAATAATGAATAATACAGCAGAAAGCAGCAATAATAGGGCCAAGCACACTACCACGGCATAAATGCAATGGGGAAAAAAATGAGGAAATGCAAGAACATATGAACTCTGATCGTTTAGCATAAGCTAACAATGAATGAAACATTCAAGAAAAACTGCAGCACTAATAGATCAGGAAAAAGTATAGGAAGAGAATCACTGACTAAAAAGATACGTTTTAATTTCTGCCTAAAAAGGGAGATGGAGGATGGGTCCCAGAGGTTTTGTGGTAGAGATTTCCGAAGTGTAACTGTAAAACTGAAGGCCCTGCCACCCATAGAAGACAAGCAAAGGTGAAGCACCACAAGGACACCATTACCTGCAGACCTGAGGGAAAGGGCAGGTGTATAAGGAAGGAGGAGCTGTGCAATATACCATGTACGACTTTAGAAGTCAAAAAGTTTATGCTGTATATGGAAAGGGACAGATTGCCAGTGAAGTTTATAGAGGGGGTGAGTGATATGTAAAGATTTTATTGTTAGTGGGAATTCTAGCAGTTGTATTCAGAGCTCAAAGGTCTGGAGTATACCAATAAGTGGAATGGGAGAAGGGGACAGATCTGTGCTTAATGGGGTTGTGGACATGGAGAGCATTAGACATAGCCTGGGTACAGGTAGAAAGAAGCTTAGGAGGACAGGATTGATCAGTAACATCAGAGAAGCTAGTAGAGCAAAGCTCTCCAACTCTGGTCCTGGAGAGCTGCTGTCCAGGAGGTTTTCTATCCTACCAGGCTTCTGATGAGCCACACCTGTTCTCAGGTAAATACCAGGAACTGGTGTGCTTAATCTTAAACCATGTACAACAGAAGATCTGCTGGATAGTAGCTCTCCAGGACTGGAGTTGGAGACCCCTGTAGTAGAGAATCAGAAAAGGCATGAGTATCAAGAGAATTTAGATGAGGATAGGGATATGTTAGGGAACCAAAAGTGGGAATTAACACACTGTGCTATCAATGACTCATGGCGTAATGGCATGGGCAGGCACATATATGGAGGACAGCTGTGAGTAATTGAGACACTAGACTGGGAACCTTTAAGATCATACGGGAAGGCCAGCAACATCTACTGGAGACATGATGGGACTGGTAGAGAAATCCTGACAATTCCCAGTCATGACAACCACTTTATAAGGCCAGTACATCAAAATGTATTAGGAAAAACACATTTTTACTCATTGCAGTGCTCACGAGTGGTCATATGATGATGTGAAATTTGGTGCACATCCCCAGGTTGTGGCCCTAAGTCCAGATACTAAGTTTGGTCTTAAAACACCAAAGCATTGCCAATTTTGTTTGGCTATGATGGACAAATGGCTTTGAAAATCAAAAATCCCTCTGATACCTCTTGTGAAGTTTGGTCCGAAGTCTGGACAAAATTTGTGACTTGTGGAAAATTCTTATTTTCCATAAAATCCAATATGACGGCTGCATCAATTAGTTGGACATGAAAATTCCCATGTGTCCACCTGTGGACATCCCATGGTATTAGTAGACAATTTAATAGGCAACCCGATCAAGTTAGTAGCCAAAATGCATTTTTGCTTATTGCAGTGCCACCTAGTGGTAGAATGACAGGCAGACAAGCAGATCTATAGGGTCCCATAGACTGCCATATCAGAAAGAAGTGGACTGCAAAGTAATCCACGGAATGCAGGAAGAACATCTGTACAGTGCATGAGAGAGGGGGCAGGATTTGAACAGCCAATGCTGGAGGTGTGAGATGCTAAGAACTGACTTTCTGTACAGGATTTCCTCATATGACCAATTAAGAGTGTAGTGCTTACTGAAGTGTTTTTTTCCCTGTATCATCTTGTTCAAAAATGCAGATGCCACTCTGAATGAAGCTGCAAAGATTTTACGGTTGTTGCACATTGAGGAGCTGCGAGACTTGCAGACACGGATCAATGAGGCTATCGTAGCTGTCCAGGCTATCATTGCTGATCCCAAGACTGACCATCGTTTAGGAAAAGTGGGCAGATGATGTATTTGCCTTTCTGCTGTCCTTTCAATGCCTGTGTGGTGATTTCAGCATATAAATTGTTTCTGCCCTCCTGATTCATGAAAACTTGTGGCTTATTTCTGCTTTCTGTGGTTTCTGCTTTTCTTATTTTTATATATGTGTAACAGAATGGCACATGTGGCTAATATGATTAAATTCATTCAAAAGCTGTACCTTTTACTGTAGTTAAATACAGTGATGCCTTTATTGCAGTTTTGCAGAAAGCCTGTGAAAGGTTTTACTTTAAATCAAGTTGTTTTGTGCACTTTTGCAATGGAATCACTTTTGCTAAATATACTTTTTTGCTTGAAAAAACAGTGCAGTATTGGTCATGTTTAAACTATCAGGATTCAGATCCAAATTGCACTGCTTGATGTACCTAGATATATATATAAAAAAATGGATTTTGTCTTCCTAACACAAATGCACATTTATAGTAGAAAAAAATGAGGTATAAAATTACCACACACTCATGGAAACTGACTTCTGTGGTCTCAGGTGGCACTTTAGTGAGCCACTTGATTCCCTGGAGTTTATTGGGTCTCTACTGTAGGCTTGGCTCCATTGGGCTTCCAACATCAGGCTTTCCCTACAATAGATAATGACCACAGATTATCAAACAAATAGAATGCAGCTGGAAGGAAGTATATTTTATCTTAACATGACCAAACCTTCACACTGACAGTTCATTACAGTTCTTATCTCTCTTCATGGTCCAGATACATTTAAAAGACTGATGACCTCCACTACCACACCTGCTGGGTGGGATGTTTTTTTGCCATTATGAATAATTCTTAAAATTTTGACATTTCAGACTTATGTTCATGTTCAAATTACTTTTCATCTCATCCTAGAAAAATCCAATACGAATGATAAATGGCACATTTTTTTAACCACTGATGCCTAAATGTATGGTTGCTTAAATTCAATCAGTTTATAGTGCTATTTGGTACAAACTTGGCTTTCACAACTGATGTCTTATTTTTATACTAAGTCTCGTGGAAAAATGTGCATATAAACCAGAAAGCTTGCATCACATGTTATACTTCTGTTATAAACTGTCAGCTTACCCAGTACATTTACATTTGTTGTTTGTCATTACCTGATATGCAGGAGGGAGATGCTACAGTAATGCCATATAGGTGAGACCTCTGTTCTGGGAGAAACTCATCAGTGAACTTGCTACTGTCCTGGCTCAATGCTATAACTCCATCCCTGTTAACCCATTGAGGAATCATTGAAGACAATCATATACAGTACACAAAATCATTTTTATAGAAATCTCTAACATTGGTTTCAGATATGCTTATATGAATCTTTTTTAGTGGTTTGTGAGTTCATGCCATCTCAATTAAAACAGTCATTATAATGAATTCATAAAGCATGATAAACATGCCTATAAATATTTATGAAAAAGCATAACACATTATAGCCGTGTTTATTATGTATTACAAGTGCCTTAATCTCATCTAAAATGCAATATAGATACAGTGGTACCTCAGTTCTCGAACTCATTAGAACGCGAATTTCTTAAAAGTCGAACCAACCAGTTCGAAACAAAATGAGCTAGAACTCGATCTGAATCTCAGAAATCAAACCATGAACGCCGACCTAAGATAACTTGTATGCGTGGGGAAATGAGTCATGCGGCACGTCTCAGCGGGAACAAAGGGTAACATCTCAGCCTCGCATTCGCTGTGATGGCATCGTGCATGTTTACACTAGCTGAGTACATATATTTAGACAGTAAAAATATATTTAGACAATGATAGTAACAGTAATTATTATATAATAAAATACATTTTTAAAATAAAGATTTCTTATTAATTTAATATAAATAATAAACCATTAAAACATTTAATTATAATAATATTAATTTTCGTGCGGAGCAGGGACAGAATGGAGACAAAGGCGCAGACGTCAGGGTATCGGGGAATACGGGGTTTAATTACAGGTAAGGCAGGCAAAACGCAGACAGACAACACAATGACCGGACTGGGGAAACAAACAAACGCGGACAAAATACAGAGGACAAATGACAACAACCAGAAACAGCTGATCACACGGGGATTCCACACGGGTTTTTTTTTTTTTTTTTTTAGCTTTACACATTGTTTGGATCAAGGGCGTAACTTTGGCTGGAACATTGGGGGGGTTGAGGTCTCCACCCATTACGGGGGAAACATGATTATTGGGGGGTTGTATTAGCTTGTTTTGATTTATTGGGGAGGCTACAACCCCCCATCCCCCCGTAATTTACGCCCATGGTTTGGATACATTTATTTTCTTACTTTACAAATTACTGTTTTGATAAATGTGCTTAGATGTGTTTAGTACAGTATATGCTCTTCTTGTTATATCAGGTTAATTTTGCCGGGAACCAATGAATTGGTTTTCCATTATTTCTTATGAGGAAAATTCGATTACAACTCGAACTTTTTAGGATTCGAAAGGATTAAATTTGAGTTCTGAGGTACCACTGTACCTTTATAACGCCGAGCAAATCATTCTTAATGCTTATAATGACCATTATAATGTATTATAAAGGTAGTTCGTTATAGACGAGAGCTTCATAAAGCATTCATAATCCATAATAAACATGACTATAATGTGTTATGCCTTTTGAAAATATAGCCACGTTTCTAATGCTTTTATGAATGCATTATTTGTTATGAGTGTGTTTAGAAATTACTAAAAACATGGCCTTAAATGAAGTGTTACTAAGCTTTTTTTTTTTGCCTTTTCCAAGTCAATTGTAGAATTTCCTTGAAAATGCAGAAACTTTGGATTTTGAATGCTATCATTGTTTTCATTTATTACACCTGATCACTGATATACAGTATTTAGCAAAGTGATTGTGAGTGGCTTTGACAGAATAGTGGAAGAACAAACATTTTAGCTGCAGCATAAGAACCTGGGAAATGGACACTAGGTCTCAGGAACTGTTACCACAGATGTGGATTTTGGCATTATATGTGTTCTTAAGGCTAAAACACTACAGAAGTTAATTTTGTACAATATGTATCACATTTTACATGATTTTAAATGCAGTCAAGTCTTAATACAAATCCAAATATGAATACATTGTACATACTCTAGCGGAAAACAATGTTTAAAAGAAAACATGCCTCATCTTGTATTCTTCTTGATTTGTATAGGAAAGTGATGGTATTACTTCAGTACTTTAATGTAAATATTTTTTGTGTAACAGATCAAAATGATTGTCATAGTATTATGAAGAACATAATAAGCGACAAATATAGATTTTTCCTCAGTGGTGAGTTGGGTTATCACTTCCATGTCAGTTTTCACCCAACTGATCTTTTACAAATGGAGGTACATGTTCATTTTTGTTATTCCTTAATAAGCTAAGACCCCAAGCAACATTCTGCCAGTCCAGACTGTCAGTTCTTGTTGGTCTATTTAATATTCACCAAAATGGCTGCTTTCATTGTTAGTTATGTTATTCACCTCCTACTTTCCCCTTTCCCCCCATCATCTGAAAAGGGAAATTTTCAGAAATTAAGCTTGCATTTTCCCCCCAAGATTCTCCATAGTTCTGTTTGCCTGTCAAACCAGTGATTCTAAACTTTATAGAATAATAATCTCATGATTTCACTTTCAGTTGTTATGTGTTCAAAGTACATTATAAAAGCAAGAAATTGCAGTTAGGTTTGCTTACCTCCTCCAGTCTGTGTAGTAGAAATGGTTGGCATAGAATACCATGCCGAAGGGGTAATTTACATTGCTGTGTATCACCCATCTTCCTGTCCCATCTGGTGCAATACATTCCAGACGTTTGGTACCTGACCATCACAGAGAAGGACACCTTAGTTGGCTGTCCATTACCAAGCTAAGATATGGCTAGTCAGTGCTAATACATAATGCTTTCTGACTCGTGAACTCGGAGGAATCGAAACAACCCCGAGCTCAGAATCCAAGATGGCTGCGCCCTTTATCAACAGAAGTTAAAGCTGTGAGTTCTGAGTTCCAACCTCCGAAGTAAATGGAATGCAGCATTAGCCTCTGTGTATGCTCCAACCTGGGATTCATTTCCAGTTTTTTTCAATATTCCCAAATATCAGTGACCATCACATTATTAGTGGAGGAGATTTCAGTCTGGTCCAGAATATGAAAAGTTTTTCATCTAGAAAGCTGGACTTGTCCAACTCGAGTCTTACCCTAAATGTTTGGGTTTAGCAGACCTGCAGAATCTGTTCACTATATGAAACCAGTTCAACATTTTCTAAAATTATAGTTATTGGTAATGACCTGTTAAATTGGGAGGAATGCCCCCCCCGATCTGAACCCGAGTGGTGTTTTGTTGTTGGATTTCTGTGCTCGTCACGGATTGTCCATAATGAACACCATGTTCAAGCATAAGGGTGTCCATATGTGCACTTGGCACCAGGACACCCTAGGCCGCAGTTCGATGATCGACTTTGTGGTCGTCTCATCGGACTTGCGGCCGCATGTATTGGACACTCGGGTGAGGAGATGGGCGGAGCTGTCAACCGATCACCGCCTGGTGGTGGGTTGGCTCCGCTGGTGGGGGAGGAAGCCGGTCAGACCTGGCAGACCCAAGCGTATAGTGTGGGTCTGCTGGGAACGTCTGGTGGAATCCCCTGTCAGGTGCAGCATCAACACTGTTTATGGTGGGGATGGTGCGCTGTTGACCTCAGCTCGGGACGTTGTTGGGTCGGTGGAAGGAATACTTCGAAGACCTCCTCAATCCCACTGACACGCCTTCCAATGAGGAAGCAGAGAATCTCTGGGGCAGAGGTTGCTGAGGTGGTTAAAAAGCTCCTCGGTGGCCGGGCCCCGGGGATGTATGAGATCCGCCCGGAGTTCCTCAAGGCTCTGGATGTTGCGGGGCTGTCTTGGTTGACACGCATCTGCGGCATCGGGGGCGGTGCCTCTGGATTGGCAGACCAGGGTGGTGGTCCTCATCTTCAACAAGGGGGACCGGAGGGTGTGTTCCAACTATAGGGGGATCACACTTCTCAGCCTCCCTGGTAAGGTCCATTCGGGGGTGCTGGAGAGGAGGGTCCGTCGGATAGTCGAACCTCAGATTCAGGAGGAGCAGTGTGGTTTTTGCCCTGGCCGTGGAACAGTGGACCAGCTCTATACTCTCGGCAGGGTCCTGGAGGGTGCATGGGATTTTGTCCAACCAGTCTACATGTGCTTTGTGGACTTGGAGAAGGCATTCGACCGCGTCCCTCGGGGAGTCCTGTGGGGAGTGCTCCGGGAGTATGGGGTGCTGAACTGCCTTATAAGGGCTGTTCGGTCCCTGTACAACCGGTGTCAGAGCCTGGTCCGCATTGCCGGCAGTAAGTTGGACTCGTTCCCGGTGAGGGTTGGGCTCCGCCAGGGATGCCCTTTATCACCGATTCTGTTCATAACCTTTATGGACAGAATTTCTAGGCGCTGCCAGGGCATTGAGGGTGTCCGGTTTGGTGACCTCAGGATTAGGTCTCTGCTTTTTGCAGATGATGTGGTTCTGTTGGCCTCATCAGACCGTGACCTTCGGCTCTCACTGGAACAGTTCGCAGCCGAGTGTGAAGCGGCTGGAATGAAAATCAGCACCTCCAAATCCGAGACCATGGTCCTCGGCTGGAAAAGGGTGGAGTGCTCTCTCCGGGTCGGGGAGGGGGTCCTTCACCAAGTGGAGGAGTTTAAGTATCTCGGGGTCTTGTTCACGAGTGAGGGAAGGATGGAGCGGGAGATCGACAGGCGGATCGGTGCAGCGTCAGCAGTGATGCGGGCGCTGCATCGTTCTGTCATGGTGAAGAAAGAGCTGAGCCAAAAGGCAAAGCTCTCGATTTACCAGTCGATCTACGTTCCTACCCTCACCTATGGTCAGTGAAATGCCTTCCTATTTCATGGTCCGAGATTGTTTCAGAAAGGTCCTATCATCAATAGAACCGGCGAGCTCCTTTTAAACACCAGCTGCAATATACTTCAGCGTATCATACCTTTGGTGTTTGTTAATAGGCAATAGCATTAGTATACCGCTAACCCATCAAAACAACAATGAGACAGTCAGTGATTCTCACAGCAGCCGTAAAACCAACAATACAGTCGTGTTTATGTCATATGTTTTTGTGCTTATTAAATTTAAGTGTTTCCAAAGATTAATCCCACAACAGTAATAAAATAAAAGTCTTGCTTTAACATAATAATAATAATAATAATAATTTTTTATTTTCGGTCCTCGAAAACAATATCCCATGCCAAACAAACATACAAACATATAAATAAGAAAACCGAAAAAGGTGTAGGCTGAAGCCTTGCTTATTATGCCTACCCTTTATACATTCTTATCTGATGAACGACACTGTTTACTCAATTCGATGACACAAGAAAACTAAATTTCATAAGACATTTTCCAGATTATACAAACATTATTTAAAACATACATAATAACAGAAATACAAATTCCATCCATTACTGCAAAATTTAAACTGATACTTTTACAATTTAATTCTCATTCATATAATTATTTATAACCATACTTTTATACATTTTCTTAAATTCGCAAAGTGATTTACAAAGTTTTAGTTCCTTATCACATTTATTCCATAAATTAACCCCTTGGACAGATATACACCTATTTTTAACGTTAGTTCTTGCCCTGACTTTTTTAAACATATACATTCCTCTTAAATTATACTGACTTTCTCTTATTTTGAACAGCCTCTGAATACGATTTGGAAGTAAATTATT